ACCCACTTTGTAAAAATGGATCGGATAATTGAACCAGTTTTATAAAGTGGATCAATTTGGATTTTTTTTCAAAATGGATCGAATTTTTTAATACGGATTGGATCGGTTATGAATCGGTTCAGATCAATTTTGATTTTTTGCACATTCCTACATATTCACTAATATATATTTATAAAAAAATTAAATAATTAAAAATACCTTAATTTTTTTAAAAAATTCTATGAAATCAACCCTAATATTAAAAAATATTAAAAAAAAGTGAAAAACGAAATATACACAATTGATGTAATAACTAGCTAAAAAATATCAAAGAAATAGTAAAACGATATGAATCGAACTAGCTATCTGGCCTAGGATTATATTTTCATATTTTGTTCAGTTTTTAAGGGTCAACCCTAATCACAAATCACAATCATCCTCGATCAAACTAATGTCTGTCTCACGTTTGTAACATAGCTCAACTTGTGGTTCTGACTTTGTTATGGCAAAGGAGCAAATTTCAAAGTTGCTTTTGCATGCTTTAATCAACACTACATGCATGGTACACCAGTGTGTGATATATTGCTCAAGAATGCTTAACACACCGTTTTGTCAACAGAAGACACTGGTTGCTTCAAAGGGGAAGAAGTGAACGCTGCTAAAAATAATTATTTTACCATATCAGCTCTACACTTCTGATGTACGTGAACGTTGTGATGCTTCTTTCACTGTTTTCATGTACCAAATCATAGAGTCTGATGGTTATGTATTAATAGTATAATGAGTTAGCATTATATAGCTATAAATATTTTATTATCACACACGTTGTGTTGATGTTCAATTCTCTATTTATTATAAAAATGAACAAATTTATCATACAGACCATAGTTTATAATTAAATGATAATGCATGATTTATTTTCTCATATATAAATATAAGTGACTAATTCAAATTAAAAGTTATTTAACGATTACACGATAATAGTTTAATTTTGATATAAAATTAAAATTAGTTGTCAAGAAATCATATTACATGAAATTTTATGATGAACATGTTATGATTTGATATGATAATAACTGTCTTCGCTCTTCTCACCCTTTTATGATAGAAGTCTTTTCACTGTTTGTATGCTCTCTCACTCTGTTGGACTAGCACTAGAACTGTTGTCAAAGAGAGCTTGGCATTGTGTCACTGTTGTTTTGATGCGAAGGGAATGTAATTTGGCTGAGAATCCTATATATTTATATGATGTAAAAGTGCATGTACCTTTTGAAAAGAAAAAAAAGAAGAATAAAAATGATGTAAATTTGTTTCAATGGGAATTCAAGGTTTGGTATTTCTTTGAGCTTATGCTAGGAATATACTTTGTTGTATCTCTACCTGTATTTTAATTTTGCATCATTTAGCAACTTTTTGTAATTACTAAACATATGGAAGACATGCATACTTGCATGTTGCCGCAGGAATCTTTCTATTCTATTGGTTGCAATAAGAGATTTAAGGGCGAAGTAATGAATTGTAGAACAACCTCAAAATGGTATTTATTTATTTTATATATTTTATACTTTCATTTAGAATGTGGGAATCTATTCAGAAATAACTTGTAAGAGAGAACCTAGCTAGATGCACAGACTTGTAATCTTCTGTTTAAGGAAAACAATTAATTAAACAAGTTGTATTAAGGTTATTCCAATAACTCGGTTTTGTCTTTCTGCAGCGATCAAGAACAAAATTTGCCAAATTTGGATTAATTCAGGATTTTACTTGTGGCTTTTCTGGTAAATGATAATTGGCCATGCTAACAAGAAACATGAAAGTAATTTTTTTGGGTACCTTTTTTCTTCTTCTTTTTTTAGAATAAGGAACGTTTTGCCTTTTTTAACATTTGTATTCATGCTCATTCCGATTGCTTCATCATATCCACTAGCGTTCATACACGTTTTCATTTTATACAAAACTATGTAAATACAATAAAAGCTATCATTATTTTATTTCATCTTAATTCGCGTGTCAAACAATATGAAATAACATGAAAACATTTTTGTATTTCAAATGCTGTTAAATTACAAATTGAGAAAATGAAATTTCATTTCAAGACATACTATGTTACTGTACTACTTAATTATTACATTGCTTCCGGACAACAAAACTGCATTAGTATTTCTTATTCTTATGTATATATAAAACGTTAGAATAAGTAACGATAATACTAATAATATTATAATAGAATATAATAAAAAAAGTTTCTGGTATTGAGAATTGTATATAGTCCTTGGGCGCACATGGGATGTGACGACGGTAGTTTAGGACAAAGTGAGAATAATGAATTATTGTAACAAAAAAATTGAAACAAAACAAAGGAACAAAGCAACGAACAATTGAAACAAAAGTTTCATATATTTCAAACAACAATGAATCAAAACCACTAAACTCGTCTAATATATACATGCATGAGAATTCAAGGTTCCATTAATAAAAAAAAATAAAACAATCACCCTTTCTTCCACCATCTTCAACCAAGGGCATGAAGCTTCACCAGCACCACGTCCACCATCATGAACACACACTATCCACAAAAAATTCAAAGAAAAAGAAATGAAAAAACTTTGTAGGGACACGAGAAGAAAGAGAATACCCACGTTAATCATTTGTTTGCGGCTGGGGGAGATAGGACCCACTTCAAAATGTTTGTGTCATCTTTCCACGTGTCATTAGAAAAAAAAAATATATAACCAAAATAAAAAAGATAGAGAAAGAATATACTTTGGCACTTATGCTATACTTTTCACCCATCCCTTATATATTTGATTTGATTACATGATGTGTTCTAACCATCAAGGACACCTACCTTTTTGTGGCCACTATTTCTTCATCCCACACCAAAGTTTCACGATTTTAACGTCACATAACAGTTCGATAAAAAAATAATACATATTCTTTTATTTTAGTTAACATGACAAAATACAAATTTATAGAAAATGACATCATATATAGAAAAACAAAACATCATCCTAAACATTAAAAAAAAAACATGTTTTTGGTTTATAATATAGGAAGTGGGTGTGTGTTTATCACGGCCATGCCACACTGCATGATTGGATTGGAAACCTAAAATACCTAATCTCGTCTTGAGGGCCATAGCCAGTTTCTTACGATATTTAAAAATAATTTCGAAACATAAGCAAACAAATAGTAGTATCATTATCAATTTGATGTAATTAGAAAATTAAATGCTTCACTTATGACAATTTTTAATCATGCATATTACATGAGATAGCAACTAGCATTTTTTTATAGTTTCATTGGTAAAGTTGGTTGTGAGGTGAGTGGTATAGTACTTTGGATAGTTTAACAAAAACAAACCTATTTAAAGCCACAATAGGAATTAGGAAGTCAAATTTGCAAGAATTTAGTTGATGAATTATTACGTACCTTATTATCTACACATTATTTGGATGTGATAAATTTTCTCATTTCTCTTTTAGCTACCCTTTTCATAAAACCAACAAACTAGTCTAATTTTCAAATTATTACCATATTTATTTAGCTTTCATAATCACATTAAAAACGAAAACCCAGCTTTCTTAGGTAACCACCCACTTCGTCCTAGGTCTACTGTCATCAATTTAATTACTTTCATTTTTTTTTCTTTTTTGAAAAAGAAAATACTGCCTCATTGGCTCATATATTCATAACAAAAAGTAATAATAGGTTTAGCAAGTACTATTACAAAGATTAAAGACGTTTTTCTTTGTCAGAAGAAAAAGAAGTTTAATTAAACAATGTCTGCATTAGTTACTTGCCTTGCATGTCAAATCACTATGTCTATTGGTTGAAGAAACCCACGTAAGATAAATAAAAACGACGTTAATTTTTCTGAAACGCAAAAGAGACATTAATTTAGTCAATGTTTAAATTAAAAGTTAGAAATTTAAGTTTGAATGATTTTAATTTTGAAAACTAAAATCGGAAAAATATCTCTTCGTTTCCTTTTATTTCAAGTTGAATTTCAAAAAACAAAATTTAGTTTATTATTGGATTAAATGAAAAATTAAACAAGAAAATTTTAAATATTTTACTTTTTGAACATATATACCCGAGTATTTCAACGGAAAATCAAATACTAATAGATGCTATTTTTCCTTCTAGATTTCAATATTTTTAATAAATAATTATAGTAAAAAAAAAAAAAGAGATGTATTAAAATGTATTAAATGTAGTCATTGTCTTTCCTGAATTGCCCTTCCTGAAAAATCGTTTACGTTTGCTCTTTCATTTATAAAAACAAGGATGTATGATTGTACGATGAATTTCCGTAACTGGGAGACTTAAAAAGTACAACTTTTTTGAGAGATTAAAAATGAACATTACTTTATTTAAAAAATAACTAAAAATATATTAATTTATTAATTTTTTACATAAATTAAAATTAACTCATATATTTCACATGCATTTGGATACATATTTCTAATCTTAAAAATCACGTTCACTTGGTAAAAAATAAATCTACCATTGATAGTTTGTCTAGATAAAGAAAATCATGATAAATAAGTAGCCAATCACACAAAATATCTTTTATAAACAAAAATAATATATATTTTTCTGAAAACTAATATAAGTTAATTTTTACTTATAATCCCTAATCTGTTTTTCATTGCCCCCCCATATAATTGCAACAATAATTATTATCAAGGAAACCACTTTTTTTTAATTATGCTATTAGTAAAAAGTACTATAATCAAAATTAATTTCTGAAAAGCAATAAAATAAAATACTTTGTGCTCGCATTAAAAGAAAAAAATATATTTTTATTTAATAACTTTTTTATATTGGACAGTAATTTTTTATTTTTGTAATTATACGCTGCTATTGTTAAAGATAAAATAAGTAAAAACAATGTGAACACAAATGTGGGCATTAAATAAGGTTATTCTTTTATTATTAGAACAGATAATAAAGATTAAAAAAATAGGAAAAAGAGTATTAAATTTATTTCTTTTTGTGTTATTACAAAAAGAGATGAAATTTTCTCCAATGAAAGACATGATCCTCTTCTCCATATTCATTCCTCTCTCTCTCTCTTCACCGCTCGCGCTCTTTCTCTCTCCTCCTTCCTCTTCCCCTCTCCGATCCTTCGATCACCGATTGTAACATTCATCGCTCCCTTCGGTTTGTCACTTTGGTAATTCAATTTTCCTAGGATCAATTTCTCAATTTTCTTTGCCCAAGTTCCGTGCCTTTTTCATGCTATCTAGGGTTAAAATATTACCATTTTTGTTTTATGATGAAAGAAACGAACTTGCATTCTGGGGTTGTGATCACATTCACGCGATTCTAATTTCTGGCATTTTCCGTTTGTAAATTTGTTTGTTTTTTTTCTTTTTTGCAATTTTTAGTTTTAAAAACTTAATCTTTTTTGTGAATTTTCAACAGAGTTGATTTTGGGGGTGTTCTTCGTAAGTTATATTGATCTCTGATACTTAGAAGCCGCAAGCTCTTGTTTTGATGATAATAAGGTACGGCTAGTTATCTGTTTTTTTTGGTGTTGTTTGGTGGGTGATGAATTTGGGAAAATGATATGATGTGGGTTTAGTACTTTCTTGTTCGGTTTGCAGCCCTTGAAAATGGTTAAAGAAAGGAAAGGAAAAATCAATTTTTGTTTTAAATGTTTGGGTCCGTTGATTTTATATTTGTTTACGTGTATGTATTTTATGATTCTTATAATTCATAGGGGGTTCTGAAATTCATTACTTGAACTTCACAAATTTTAATGAGTATAGGCCTTCATACTTCACATATTTTAATTGATTTACAGGGCCATTGTTGACACCCCTGAAGGAATTTTATTAGGTGTGGCTAGTTTTCCGCTGGGAACGATATTTTTGTGGGTGTTTTTTGGTTGTGGACTCGGAATGTTTATACACTAGTGTTCTATCTCTTGAAAAGATGAGGCTGCATCTTACATGTCCATTGAATGTATCATGATTATTTCACATATTTGTCAAAGGGATTGGTTAGCTACTAACCAATGTCAGAATAAATTTTCATTACTTATGTAATGCCTGTTCCCTTTCAATTAATTGGGTGTTTGTTTTGCTCCCTCCACAAAAGCGACAATATATAGATTCTTTGTAATTAAAGGAAATTGTTGTGATTATATTAGCGAATGTGTGGATTGGACGCGTGTCCAAACACACTAACTTTAATCTTTTGGTAACATTTTCTTGATTTTAATTTTGAAAGAAAATTTATCCGGGAAAATAACCATATAAAGGTGAGTATTGGTATATTAAAGGAAGGAGTATGTAAACACAGGGTGCTGAGAAAATTTCCCTAATGTTGATATGAAATATTAGAAATTTGAAAACTGCAAGTTTTATCTTGTGCAAAATGCTTGCTTTGTTATTTATCTATTTGGTTCTAAGCTTTTATTTCCCTTATGTGTCTGACTGGTTTTATTCACTCTGCATGGAATAGGATTGATTTGCATCAACAACTCTCTACATTATGGAACAAATGACAGATTCAGAAATTGATCAACGGAGACAAGGCTATCATCATTCTGAACCCTGTATCCTTATGAGAGGAACCACCAGCATCTCACAGCCTAATAATATTCATGCAATGGTGAGAGCTTCAGGGAACACAACTAATGTTGAATCTCACTTTTTGCCAGATGCTTATGACAATGCTAGGGTGTATGGGGTTCCGCAATACAATGGAATTCAGCCTCCACATAACCTTGAGATGGGTGTACCAGCTGCAACCAACTTATATTATTCTGGCATAAATCCTTCTTCTGGTACTGGTGTTTTCCCCCTGCCTCTAAATCACAGAGCCTCTGATCAGTTGCCAGGTTCCAGCACATTTGCAGTTGCTGGAGTTTCTTCAGATAATTTTGGGAGAAGTTCTGGTTACATGGATGATGTTAGAGGTCCATACAAAAGGAAAACTGCTGAAGGGATTAGAGGAAGTCACCAGTATTTTAATGGTTCATCTAGCTCTTCAATTGGTCCCCCTAATGCAAGACACACTGATGGGGTTGCTATGATGGATAATGCATCATTTTCATTCCGCATCCCTTCACTTGTGGAAGTAGGACCACATGGTAGTGCATGGAGCCGGGCAGGTGAGTCTATTATGGTGCATGACCATAATCATTTGATCCATGGAAACTATTTAGGGCAGCACTTTCAGCCAGCTGCTCCTCCCTGGTTGGACCAGCAGTTGAGTAGTAACAATAATGATGGTCATACTACACCCTGGAATCAGTCTCTTCCTATGCCTTATGTACAAGGTAAGTTCTTTTTTCTTTTTTTTTCTTCTTTACTTGATTTGTGCTTCTCCTTTCAGCTATTTACTATCATTACTCTGATGTTCTGTAAGTGAATAATTTGTAACAACATACAAGAAGCTCTTTTCAAGTTTCCTCATGAAATTGGTAATTACAGCTTCTTGCATGTGATATTTTCAACCAGGCAATAAATTTATGAAGTCTTGATTTAATAACACTCAGTTTGAATCTAAGATTGGAGTAAATGCATAGATTTTTTCTGTGTATGATCTGTCTGCTATGCTGTCATTTAAGTGCCTAATAAAGCGTAGGGTTTTAAATAGCATGCTATATAGGGACCAAATAGTGGTGCTATATGTTGTTTCCAAGAAAGCCCTCTGAACAAAGAAGTTAGGGGTGTTTTGGGATTTCAATGTCCAAAAATGAAATCTACTGCTGTAATAGTAGTCGAAATTTTAAAGACAATGACTTGGATTTGGAAGACAATGATTGATGATTCTTGTCTTAAACTCTTTTGACTTTTGTTGTCATTTACTTGTGTGTTTTGTTTTAGACACCTATGACTTTTTACCGCTCTTGTGTTTTTGCGTCAATCTGCTATGCACCATGATCTTGGGGTTTATAACTATGATGAAGTGCTCATATTTTTCTTTGAATTTGTTATGTTGGTTATGAGTTTAGTCTGTCTGACTGTCTCTCCATATTATTCTCCAGCACCCAATGTTAATGGAAGTTCATTAGAGAGTGCAAGTATGGGTTTGCATAGATACCATGATCCATCTGCGAACCGAAATGGCCTCAGGTTTCCTCATCCTCTTCCTGTCAACCAACAGCACCATAATTATCATCACCCAGCACTGCCTATGCAAGGAGTAAGAGGTCACAATATCAACTTTCACCCTGCTGCAGTAAATGCAGCTTCATATAGACTTCCAACAAATCCTTCACGCGGTGTTGCGATCCCAGCACAGACTGGTTTTGAGATGGGTCCTAGGCATGTTGGCCCCGCCCCACAACCTGGCCTTCGGATTTACCGACCTCATAGAGGTGTTGTGCCTGAGACAACTCTTGGACATCGAACTCTTCCCCCTGTGGGCTTCCTGCAAGTTGATGTAATATTTCCTCTTCTCTTAATAATTACTAGTTTACAGTTACACCCAACATTGTCCTTGTGTAGAAAGAATAATACTTTCTTTACATTATAAATGCATAGAGTTTCTTATCAATTAAACTTGTGTAGGATGTTGCTTTAATTGATGAAGTGGGCCATTATGTTGACCATCACAGAGATATGCGCTTGGACATAGAGGATATGTCTTATGAGGTAAGTACACAAAGATTGACATTGTATTTTCTTGTTAATGCAGACATGTGAAATCTAGGATACCAAAGTTTTGATGTTGTAGTGTAAATAATTTACACTTGAAATTCACTACACTGCTACAGGATCTCCTTGCATTGGGTGAGCGGATTGGCAATGTAAGCACTGGTTTATCAGAGGAAACAATTACAACTCAACTGAAGACAAAAACTTATTTAATGCGTGCTACTGCTATTAATCTGGAGGAGGAAGCCTCTGATGACCAGGAAACAGATTCTTGTATAATATGTCAGGTATGAACTTACAGCAACATGTTTCATTCAAATTTTCAGTTACATAGTCTAGCTTTGTGTTCAAGTTTTGCCTTTGATGTGCTAATTAATTTGACTATTTATATAAAATTCCGCAGGATGAATTTAAGAACCAAGAGGAAATTGGAGTTCTTCGATGCGAGCATGAATATCATGCAGATTGCTTGAAGAAGTGGTTGGTTGTCAAAAATGTCTGCCCCATTTGCAAATCAGAAGCTTTGACTCCTGGAAGGAAGGATGGATAGGAAATGAAATGAAATGAACATCTCTTTCTCTTCCTCCTTGGATAATTTATTTTTGAACAGAATTCATATTTTGTTATATGTATTTTGTATATGTACTTGCACATATATAGACGGTCAATACTGCCCAACTCATTTATCGTTGGCACCAGAACTTGTATCTATCAACTTGTACAGACTTTGTTCTGTTTGATCAAGTAAAACTTCAGGTACTCATATCACCGATGCTTTTCATACCATCATTTAGATATTTATGGTTGCTTGCTTTGTGTTTTATTTTGCATATGATTGCTTCGTCTATTCATGTGGAATTCAATGTCCCGTTATGTTCAACTATAATTTTGCATTTTAAATTCGTAATACTTTGTATTGTTCAACTTATGGTCATGTTGAACTAGAGTTTTGCATTTTTAAACTCAATACTTTGTATAGTTCCACTAATGTTTTCATTGACGTGGTGCTAGTGAGTTCATCAATCATGCACATGGTTGACTTTCCTATAGCACATGCGAAGTAGATAATTGTCACGTTTGCAAAATGTGTAAACGCGCTTCTCGTTGACGATTGACCGTGTCAATGAAAGTCTTTGTTGACTGCTTTTGCATACACGACAATGATCACATTTTTTACATGATATTCTCATTTCTCAAGTTAGCCAAAACCTTTTTAACTCTGGCGGAGGTACAGGGTTTTTTTTTTATTTTTTTTTAAGTATAAACAAATTAAGAGCAAAAGACTTTTTTATTTTTTTTTACTGATGATATACTACAATTTTGAAAATTAGAAATTGCCAAATGAATTTTGTCTTTCTCAAGAAAGGATATGTTTGAGTAGTCGTTTTGGCTTCTTCAACATATTTTTAGACCACTAAACTTAGTTTTTCATTATATTTGATTGCATTCAAAAGTCGTATTTTTTCTTCAATATTTAGCCAAAACTGAGTTTGAATTAGAAGTAACAAATGAGTTGCTTTTGAAAATTCATTTTTTGTTGGTAGTATTTATTCAAAACCATCAACTAAAAGTGCTTTTAATTAGTATTATCTAAACAAAATTTATTTTACCAACATATTTTTTAACAAAAACATATCTAGGCATAAGCCGCGTTATAGTATATTTTTTTTAATCATACTTGAGTTTATAATGTACTTTTGTTCAAAATTATATTTGAAAACTTTAAATCAAATACAGTTTTTTTTTTCTTTTCTTTCATGTATATGGTTAAAAATCAAATTCCGCTAATATATTTAAAATAGTCAAACTATTTACTTTATTAAATCTTGTTAGTAGCATGTAAATTGTTTTAGGAAGGTGTATTGGATTAGGATTTTAAAGGACTTTTTTAGTTAAAAAAAATCATGCGGATTTTAAAAGACTTTGTAAGATTTTCATGACTTTTAAGATTTTGCAGGATTCTACAAGACTTAAAATCAGGATTTTAATGGATTCTGCAAGACTTTTAAATCAAGATTTTATTGGATTCTATGAGATTTTGTGGATTTTGTAGAATTGTCGTGGATTTTTTACATTTGATAAGATTTCAAAAAAAAATTTTACATTCAAATTTAAAAAGAGTCAAAGATAAAAATAATAATAAAATAATAATGTCTAGATAAATAATAATAATAATAATAATTTTTCATAATATTCTATCCTCTTAAATAGCATTCACCAACATATTCATAGCTATACTAGTCCTCCAAGCATTAGCCTCTTTTCGCTCTTGCTCCTGGGTTTGAATAATAGGCTCAAAAGTATGATCTTCATTAACTGGTAACATTGAAGATAAAGGTTTATCCACTGCTTCAATTGGAAATTCATCGGAATGACATTCTTTATGTAGAAAGTTATGTAGTGCTGCACTTACTAACACAAGTTCTACTTGTGTCTTAAATAAAAATGG